CTGGTCCATGTTAAGTAGGGCTTATGAGTGAAAAGGGGCCTCAATCTCACACCTTTTCTCAAAGCTTGTCGGCCCAGCCCTTTGACTCAGCCAGGAGACTCTGAGACAGAACAGGACGTTTCAGTTTTCATCTGAATAATTAAAGACACTCCCATGGGAAAAGTCTTTGCAAAGAGTTGTACACGGGGGCTCTTTCTTTACAAAGATGAGCCGCATGCTTCACCACATGCAAACTTATGCTAAAGCACACTTAGTTTGGTTTTCTTGCATAGGGAAATATAAAAATGTTTCTCACATGCAGAAATGTAAAAGAATGGTGTTACGATGAACCATGTGCTTTGCAAGGATTTTGGGAGACACCTAAAGCATTCCTCAGCCTGTGCTGACAGGCATCAGAATGTGTCTGCAGAGTTTCTGTATGAGAAGCTGGAAGGCAAAGCCAGCAACAATTATAAGTCAGGTAGAAGATTAATGTTTTAAATGTTAAGCTTAACTGTCATTTTCACTTTTCAATATTAAAATACTCTTGTATATAATTGCAGAGAGAACTAATAGATATAAACCATTAATATTGATGTTTAACTCAACATCAAGATTCATAAATGAATAAGAAAAGTCGTGTATTTTTTCCCCAGTTTCAACCCCTTTGTGCCTTCACTTGTTCAATGTAAGACAATATATCTTTAGCATATCTGTTACTGGTCAAGTGGTCTTTAATTGTTCATGCTTTCACCCCCCATCGACACCACCACCTCCACCTCTTTTCGTTTAGATTAACTTCAGATTAACATCTAAATCACTTAAAGTTAATCTTTAAAACACTAATAATTTAATAACACTGTTAATAACTGTAATCTTTTTTAAATCTCAAAATGAATATCCATTTTTCACACTGCACATTCATTTGTTTTGATGTGTAAATTTATTAGCAGCATTTAAAATGTTTGATTACATTTTTAGTTTATTTTGTTCATTATGGGTCAGTTGTAACATGATTTTTTTTTTAATGGTGCATCCATATTTGAATACATTTTAAAACACATATCACAATCATTATTTTTTTAAATTTTAGTGCAGAAATGACTTTAATCTAGATTTAAACTGGGAGAGTGTGTCTGAGCCTCGAACATTATCAGGAAGGCTATTCCAGAGTTTAGGAGCCATATGCAAAGATGTCTTAGGTACTACCAAAAGTCCATACTTTTGTGACCTTAAAGAGCATGATGGATTGGGCGATTGAAGATTGGTTAAATACAGGAGCTGAACCATTTAGGGCCTTATAGGTCAGTAGTAATACTTTGTAATTGATACGTAACTTAATATGTAACAAGATGATAAAATTTGTGATCATATTTTCTTGATAACTCTAGCACCCTGAATACCGGTGTAATTTTGCAATCGATCTAAGAGTGTTTTATAATCTATAGTGTCGAGCATAAAGGCACAGGATGCTCTATAGAATGGACTACACATGCACTTCTATCAAGAATTAAATGGGTAAAACAACAAAGGCCATGATTTGAGGTTTTACTTGCACAAAGTTTTGTTTTCTGGTGCCTTTTGACAGAACAAATAGTTCTTGCAGCTAATTCATGTACGCTTCTCAAAGCAATGAAACTTCGAATAAGTGTATAAGAATCTCTTCTTCCTTTCATTCTTATCTCCTTTCATTCTCCGTTCTTTTAAAATGCATCTGAATAATTGAAGGCACACCTATCGGAAAAGTGATTATTTAGCAAAGATGAATGTAGCAAACAGCCCCACACACTGATCTACACAAAACAGTTGATTTGCGCAGTTGATTATTCTTATCTACAAGATAAAATTGATAATATTTCACAGGAGTGCACAAGTAAAAGTGTAGCTTTTAAAAGTGAACAAGGTGTGTGGTGTTTTTTTTCTTTATACACAGGACATTTTCTTCTCTTCATTTACTCCCTTTATGTAATACAAAATCATTTTATGCACACAAACCTGACTCAACCCAGTAGTAAATGTTATTTAATTTCATGAAGACAGTTATTTCATGAGTTCATAAGGCCATGGTTTCATGACTGGTTGTAACCATATTTGGAAATTAAGCTTAAAGGCTTGGGTGTGGACAAGAAAAGGGTGTGGTTTAAGGGGCGTGGTCTGGAGGGGTGGGACCCTTCTTACTCTCTAGTGATTGGTGGGCTTTCATGAAAAGGAAGCCATCCCTTGTTTCAACATGACAAATATGTCTAAGCAAGCATGCAACTCTCAGATTTCAACTCAAGAGCTACTCTGACTTTCAAGACCCTGAAAATACAGGAGACATTATAGTAAACTAGGTAAAAATGTGGTTTCCATTTTTCATTGTAGCCCAATTTCACTCATTCTTTTGTGAGATGCACATATAGTTAATATCACTGTATACTGTAGCAATGGTGTAAGCAAGCAGGTTGCTGCAATGTTCACATAGCTCAGGAAATACAACAAAAAACGTCTTTAATCAATAAATCCAACTGAACAGGAAATCCCCAGGAGATATAATACACAACCAAGTTAAACGCAAACGACACGGAACAGACAGAACTAAGGGTTTAAATACACAGAGTAATAAACAGATGTAGAGCTAACTAAGGAGACTAACTAGGAAAACAAGAGTCTTTTCCTGTAATCCTGTTTAAGATTTTACCAAAGTTTGTTGCCATAACTTTATCTTTTTATCATTGCAAACAGATAAATATGCTACAGTCATGGAGACAAATTATCATGTACAAGTAGGAAGCATCAAGTTCAACGGTGGAATTTACAAGCCAGTGTACAAGACAGTGAATATCTGGACAAATTCCAAGCATTGCGTTATTGGCACTTTTGGGCCCCACCTAATGTGTACAAAAAAATTACAGCTTTCATGTCCAGACAATGCAAAACACACTTGGTATGACTAACCGATCAACGATTCACTTTTCTTTGTTGCTCAGTCTGCTGATGCCACACAAAGCCTGAATTAAGTCGAGTACACACTGCACGATTTTTATGGTTCTTCATGACTGTTGCGTGCCAGACTGAATGATCTTATTCAAGTGAGATCTTAGGTAAAACCAAAGGCACATGAATTTGTGACTTTAACACAAAAGTGTTTTAGTGAAGGCAAAGCATTTAGAGTTTTTTTTAGAGAATGCTCTTTAGAGAAATGTCTTGAGATAAATATGTGCATAAAACAATGTCTATTGAAGGAAGGTATCCACAGACATCAGAGGAAGGAAGACAGAAGACAAGGAATTGGACTGGTCTGATTTTATTAAGGTCTTACCAAGGCTATGTTCACACAGTCAGTCCAAATCCAATTTTTGTGCATATCTGATTAAAATCCAATTAGAAGTGTTAACAGAAGTCTATATAGAGTGTTTTTTTCTGTAAGAAATACAGACTGAAATGTTCTTCAAATGTGCCTCCTGCAATCATAATTTAGAGTCAGTTTTATAATATCACGTGTCCTGTTTTATGTTTTTCGCTTTTAATGCAAATGTTACACAATGTCCTGCCTGAGACGTTGTTGCTGCACTATTTTAATTGTTTTGCCTTTTTTTTTATCCTCTTGTGATAGACTGATATACTATTTTGTCCAAATAAATAACAAATAAAACAGTAAAAACTAAAATGAATAATTTCAAATTCTATCAAGTGAATTTAGGCATCATAAAATTAGAATGTTCAGTATGAAAAATTTACATTTATTCTGATATTTACTAAATATTACATTTAACAGTTTTTTTTGGTGTTTTTAAATATTAACTGTAAGTGATCGAAAATAGAGGAAATTATCATTCATATATATATATATATATATATATTGATACCAATCTTTTTTTTTAAAGGGAAGGTAACACTTTATTTAGATGGTCCATTTCAGACATTCTACTGACTATAATTAACTTTGCAACTACATGTTAACTAACTCTTATTAAAGATTAGTAGAATGTCTGCTTATAATCTGCAAACACTTTATTTTGCACAATTTTCCCTCAGTAACAAGTGGCTATGCAAGTGGCAATAAACATGACATTCTCTCTTCCTGCCATACTTTGTCTGGTAAATATTTACATGGTTTCTACATTAATCTCTCAGACCTGTCCACTTCAGCAGCAAGCCTGCAGTTCTAAACCATTTAAATATGATAAGGGTGATACTGACATGCCAACAAAAGCAGCACACGTTGCTAAATAATGCCACCTAAAGACAGCTACAGAAATAAGCACACTGCTCTTGCAGTCACCGTGTACTGTTGTGAGTTCTGACACTTACCTGTAACTATCAATATGAAAACAATGCTGTATACATTCCCTTTAAAGTTTGCGCCATGTGTTTTATTACGAGGTAACATAAAAATCTACTTTGCATGCAACTGCATCAGCCCTCTGGGAACCACAGAACAAGGTGGTGAAGTAGTGTTCGTTACAGAGCCATTGAGGTGAGAGAACAGTAGCTTGATTGTTTGACTGGAAAGAGGACCCTGCAGGTCACAATGGCTTTCAGGACGAGCGCCAAGCTTCAACATTCAAGCTCTTCATCAAATATTCCCCTATTTAATACTCCTGCATGCTGCTTAAAGCAAACAGAGAGCCATGTCCCTCCCAAATTCATGAAATATGCATAGAGTTGTTTAGTTTGCCATGCATTAATTTATAGAATGCCATCTGGCCTATAACGATGGTGTTTTGGATTACAGAGCACTAGTAAAATACAAAAGTTTTGTAGTAGATGCAAAAAGAGGCTGTGTAGAATTTCAGGAAGTTTTGATCTTGTTTTTCTACTCCCTGTTCCTCCTTAATCTCTTCACTTTATGTGAGTGTGTGTGTGCATGTAAGGTAGGGTGTGGCCCTCTCTGCTGAAAGTACTCCCATACCAGCCTAGCAAGATGGGTGTATGTATCACTTGCAGAGGGGTGAAAGGACAGGAGCCTGAGGCTGAAAGAGGAGTGGCCAGATGAGCCCCTCCCGTGGCACAAGAGGTATAAAAGCTCCTGCACTCATTGAAGAAGACACTTAGAGGGATTTAACTTTCCTCTTAGTGAGCTCACCTGCTCTGGATCTCTCTGTCTCCTCCTGCTCTTTTTCTATCCGATCCACACCCCCTCATAGACGACAGCAATCATGACTTCGATCAAAACATCCTACCGTTCCAGTGGTGGAAGCATGAGCGGCGGCGGCGGCGGCTTTGGTGGAGGAGGTATTAGGAAGAGCTTCTCTAGCATGTCTGCCAGCGCAGCACCCATGGGCAGCAGGATGAGCTCTGTGTCATTCCGTCAATCCGGCGGTGGTGGTGGTGGCGGAGGTTTTGGAGGAGGATCTGGACAAAGCTACAGCTACAGCATTGGCGGCGGCGGCGGTGGCTTTGGAGGAGGTCAAGGAGGTGGCTTCGGCGGTGGAGGATTCGGCGGTGGTTCTGGATTCGGCGGTGGTGGTTTCGGCGGTGGTGGTGCAGGATTCGGCGGTGGAGGATTCGGCGGTGGTGGATTTGGTGGTGGATTCGGTCAAGGCGGTATGGCACCCATCACAGCTGTCACAGTCAACCAGAGCCTCCTAGCTCCATTGAACCTAGACATCGACCCCAACATCCAAGCTGTCCGCACCCAGGAGAAAGAGCAGATCAAGAACCTCAACAACCGCTTTGCTTCCTTCATTGACAAGGTTAGTCTTCTCTTTGCAAACATACTCAGCTGCACAACACAACAATCTGATCTTGCACATCTGACATTTTGACTATTCATTCATTCAACGTTTGGTTTACGTGCACACATTTCAAGGGCCTTCATATGATCTGAGGTCTGCTCATTAAATATTTCACAGCCAGTCACTTGCACCCAGAAATCCTGCTAGTGTCAGATTCAGTGTAACAGTAAGCACACACAGTAGGAGACTGGGTGCCATTGCATATGCCACCTCTGCATCATTATCACTCAACTTCAGTCAAGCAGTCAAAGTCTATATCTTAGGACAGTCTTGAGTTGCTTTCCTTGTATACAATTGTTCTTGTTCTTTGAGGGTGAGTTTAGAAACCCAAGCCCGATGAGATCCAATGACTGATCCAATCCAAATAAGGGCATGGATCAAGTTTTTCTTCTATCCCTATGGCACCAATGCAGATGTGTGTGTGTGTGTGTGTGTGTGTGTGTGTGTGTGTGTGTGTGTGTGTGTGTTTGTGTGTGACAAACGAGTATCATCTTTAACTCTTACTTAATCATTTTATTTTTTTTCTTAAACAAACCTAGTTTCCTATTTTGATTCTCTGAGACCTTTGGGGAGTTCGCTATGTAACCACACCTTGTAAATTTCACCCCCACTGTAGGTGCTACGCCCATTTGTATGATTCTGACAAGAGATATGATCAGCAATAATGTAGCTCAAATAACTACTGATGTCATTACTGCTTTGTTCTTTTCATGTGAATCCTGCAAGTTTAAAGTAATTGTGAGGTTGTACTTATTATTAACTACATTCCATGAATATGCAGAACGGTGGGTACAGTTAACACCTGAGGGGAAAGGCGTGTCATATCATCTCTGTTAAGGCTTGCCATTTGGCACAGGTCTCATAGGAGCCTCGCCTTTATGCCAGGAGGGAAACATTGTTTTAATAGCACAGAGAGTCTAAACATGTTGTGGTGTCATATTTATGATCTCAAAGGGGAGTGTACATATTAACAGGACAGTTACTCCAAGAAGTTGTGCTGGCCAACACAGCATGTCACATATGCTTTTTTTTTTTTTTTAAGTTGCCAAAGGTGTGTCAATACAAGTCTGGATATGCAATAAGAGGTGTGCTTGATAATTACTGTAGAAGACACATCCTGTGGCATAAGTAATGGCACATCAAAAGGTTCTCATGCCTTCTTTTTCTAATAAAGCTATTTATTCAAATCCTTTATTGGTTTATTTCAAATACAGGTGCGCTTCCTAGAACAGCAGAACAAAGTGCTTGAGACAAAATGGAGTTTACTGCAGGACCAGACATCCACCCGCTCCAACATCGATGCCATGTTCGAGGCCTACATCTCCAACCTGCGCAGACAGCTTGATGGACTTGGTAATGAAAAGATGAAGCTAGAAGGAGAGATGAAGAACATGCAGAATTTGGTTGAGGACTTCAAGAACAAGTAAGTACAGTAGCTGTGCAAGAAAATGCTCAGGGTTCTATGAACCACACTTTGTGCGAATGGTATAATTTCACAATGAATTTGCTAAAATGGAAAACTTATTTTTGCAGATATGAGGATGAAATCAACAAGCGTGCCGCAGTGGAAAACGAATTTGTCCTGCTCAAGAAGGTAATACCTTTGGCTGCTTTCTTGGCCCCCTGGTTATATTTTTACAATTATTTTGATTGTAGAGTCCACCCATTATATTGAGCTTTGTACATTTCTTCATAGGATGTTGACTCTGCGTACATGAACAAGGTTGAGCTTGAGGCCAAGGTTGATTCCCTTCAAGATGAAATCAACTTCCTTAGAGCCATCTTTGAGGAGGTGAGCATTTGATGGAACTATATGATGACTGCAAGGCTAGTTTTATGTAAGATTTATCTCATTGCCTTATACCTTATCCTTGCAATTTTAGGAGCTGCGCGAACTACAGGGACAGATCAAAGACACATCAGTCATTGTGGAAATGGACAATAGTCGCAACCTGGACATGGATTCCATCGTTGCCGAGGTCCGTGCTCAGTATGAGGACATTGCCAACCGCAGCCGCGCTGAGGCTGAGTCGTGGTACAAACAGAAGGTGAGAAAAAGACTTTCAAGCATCAAACAAACACTATGTTTAAGCAACCAACTGACAGATCCTAATGAAAATGTCTCTCTTTTCACCTTCTAGTTCGAGGAGATGCAGTCATCTGCTGGCAAATATGGAGATGACCTTCGCAACACCAAGTCTGAAATTGCCGAGCTGAACCGCATGATCAGCAGACTTCAGAATGAAATTGAAGCTGTCAAGGGACAAGTACGTAGTCTTTTAGTCTTTAGTGTTAGTCTTTGGATGAGGTTTTGGCCTGAATTAGATTGCCAACCAAATCCTTAGTGTGTACTAAATGTACTTTCAAATAAAGGTTTATCCAATTAGCAATGCATGTTATGTTGGGAATAATGTAAAGGAGTTCCTACAGAAGAGGACAGGAATAATGTAAAAGTGCTGCTGAAAACTAAAGTTGTAATGTCTTCTTTGAATTGCTTAGCGGTCCAACCTTGAATCTCAAATCGCTGAGGCTGAGGAACGTGGAGAACTGGCAGTGAAGGATGCCAAGCTCCGCATTAAGGAACTGGAGGAGGCCCTGCAAAGAGCAAAGCAGGATATGGCGCGCCAGGTGCGTGAGTACCAGGAGCTCATGAATGTCAAACTGGCCTTGGACATTGAGATCGCAACCTACAGGAAGCTTCTGGAAGGAGAGGAGACCAGGTCAGTCACTTTTCTAATTTGAAAGCTTATGTATTTTTTTTCTCTTGAAATTTGTCTTTATATAGACATTGACATTTATTTTATTTTCATTTTGTCAGGATTGCTTCTGGTGGAAGTTCTGCAACCATCCACATTCAGGAGTCAAGCAGCAGTAAGCTTATTATATTTTTTATCTTTACCTTAGATAAAAAGACATTATCAGCACATAATTTGCTGTAATAACTGCATTGGTGTTCAGTATAACTAATGTCTTTGTTTGTTGGTTCACAGGTAGTGGTGGCGGCGGCGGTGGCGGCGGCTACGGATTCGGTGGTGGCAGCAGCTACGGTGGTGGTGGCAGCAGCTACGGTGGTGGCGGCGGCGGCTACGGTGGTGGCAGCGGCTTCGGTGGCGGCAGCGGCGGCAGTGGCTTTGGATATGGCGGTGGCTCCAGCATGAGCATGAGTGGCGGTGGCGGCGGTGGTCAAATGTCAATGTCCCGCTCCTCTGTGGTGCAGTCCAGCCAGAAGCGCCGCTTCTAAACTCGTCCACCCAGTTCCCCCTACCTAATATGATCTACCACCTGAGCAACAAGATCTTTTCACTCCACATTTCAATGTTCATACATTTTTTTTATGCGTTTAACCCCCAAAATCCACAGTGACCCAAAGAGACTCTAATGTCAAAGTGTTATATACTGTACCTGCAGAACGGCTTTTCACATTCACCGTGCTGTTTTTGATTCTAGTTGTTTCCCCTTGGCATCGCTCCTCAGCCAGAGTACAAATTGTCCTTTAGGGGATGCACAATCGGAAAAGAGCTAATAAGAGAGACAAAGCATGGAGCTCAAGTATTTTTTCGGGCTGAATAGCTTTTGTTGCTCTGTCACAACATGTAAGCATTAAATGCACATAAAATAAATGGCTTTTTAACTGACTTAAAATTCCTTGTCACTACAACCAGCATTTATAATACTTCTGCTTCATCATAGTGCAACAAAAGCTACTCATTTGAGATTTTACTTCCTAGAGAGGAGTAACTTTTACTTTTTTCTTTCCCTGATTTTGGATGATGGGCTGATGAGCTGTTCTGTCACAATTGTGGTTTTCATCCAACCATGTACCACATGGAAACATCAATAAATCAGGGTTATATACAATCACTTGTCTTCAGTTTTTATTTCATTGACCTTTCTCTTTTACACAACATAGGAAAACAAAAAATGCAACTTAAATTGAATTTAATCATCACTGCCATATAGGTATATGAGTCAATGACATAGTGTCCACAATCAAGAAAAAGGAATATAAAAACAAAGTAGTCTATGGTTTCAAACACCTTTTATGCCATTTTCACAAAAAGTTTAAATCTAAAAATACTAACTTTTCCATGATTTAACTTAAATATTAAATACATGTGAGTGTACACATATCAATCATTACTTTAAAAAAGATTAATATATATATATATATATTAAGGTATTTTTCAAATATTACAAATTAATTCGTAATTGTCACTAAGGTTTTGGTGAGCTGCAACACAAAACTTTAAATACATTCTACTTAATAACGTTTTTTTTTCTTCAATTTTTTTATTCTTTTAATTAGCTGTTTTGTCTTTATTATTATAACAGGACAATTTTTACCCATATAAGGAATTCATCCTTGCAAACATAATACCGTATACAGACTGTAGATCAGACAACAAAAAAAAAAAAAACATGGATCAATAAGAAAATGTACCAAAACATAAAACAAAGGTACCATATAATACCACAGTATTCTTTTAAATACCTTAAGGACTATGTTTTTTAAGGGACAAAGCTGCAAGACCAGCAATTATAAATAAAATAATAGAAAATCAGCACAAAATAATATTACAACCCAAAATTTGTTTGGGACATTTTGTAAAATGCAATAAAATCAATAATCTATGATTTGTTAATTCTCTTTAATCTTTATTTAACTGACAAAGTTTTTTTTTTTTAAAGAATAAAAAAGATTTTAAAAATTTTCATTGACCAAATTAAGCGTATTTTGTAAATATAAACAAATTTTGTTTTTGATGGCTGCAACAAACTCCAAAAATGTTGGGACAGAGGTTAAATAAAAATGAAAAGCTTATAGAATATCCAAATGAAACACTTCAATGAAACAGTCCAATAAGTAGGTGAATTGGTAATAGGTGAGTGTATTATAATTATAATCATTTGTTAACAAACATATTCATTACTTCAATGAGCTCATTGTTTCTGCATCAAATTATTACATTGTTTAAATTAATACATTTTTAGCTAACTGTGATTTTGTATATGTACATTTCTGAAATACATAACTTAGACACTTACCTCTGATAACACATCACTCTTAATTGTAATATGGACTCATGCACTTTCTGTAAAGCTGCTTTGAAATGATGTGTATTGTGAAAAGCACCATACAAATAAACGTGAATTGAATTGAATATTATGATTGAGTGTAAAAGGAGCATCTCAGTCTTTGCAAGCAAAGATGGTCATGGCTCATCACTTTGTCCCAAATATCATGAGAGAATTGTCAAACAATTCAAAAATCACATTTCTAAATGCAAGATTGCACAGAATTTAGGTCTTTCGCCTTATTCAGGGAATCCAGAGAAATCTCAGTACATGTAGGGTAAGGCAGGATACCTGAATGTGCATGACCTTTGACCCCTCATGGCATTGCATGAGAAACCATCATGCTACTCTGTTAAATAGTCACATGGGCTCGGGAGTACTTTGGAAAACCATTGTCACTTAACAGAGTCTGCTACTGCATCCAGAAATGCCACTTGAGTCTCTGTTACGCAGGGAGAAAGCTATACATCTGTTCAATGCAGAAATGCTGGCGAGTTCTCTGGGCCCGAGCTCATCTCAGATGATCCAAAACACAGTGGAAATGTGAGCTGAGGTCAGATGAGTCCACATTTCAGCTTGTTTTTGGGGAAAAACAGACATCGAGTTCTCAATCCCAAAGACGAAAGGGACCATCCAGACTTTCATCAGTCATGGTATGGGGGCGGATCAGTGCAAACGGCATGGGTGACTTGCATATGTGTGAAGGTACCATTGATGTGGAGACATGTTAATGGCAAGTTGACATCTTTCCTGGGGAGCAAGACAACGCCAGTCCTCATTCTGCACATGCTAAAACAGAGTGGTTTCTAGACACTCTACACCGTAGAGTGTCTAGAAACGTGGATGTGCTTGACTGGCTGCCCGCAGTCCAGATCTGTCTCTTATTGAAAATGTATGACCCATCATGAAAAGGAGAATCAGACAACGACGATCACAGACTGTTAAGCAGCTGACTTTTATCAGGTGAAATTGAGCCTGAAATCTATTTGCAAAACTTCAACAATTATTATCCTCAATTCCCAAACTTTTAATTAAAAGGAAAGGTGATGTGACACACTGGTAAACATGCCTCTGTCCCAAGTTTTTTTCAAGTGTGTTGCAGCCATCAAAATCTAAATTTACTACACAAAATACTCTTAAGTTAGTTAGTGAAAACTTTGAAAATCTTTTCTTTGTACTTTTGTCAGTTAAATAAAGGTTATAGAGAATTAACATATCACATATTCTTGATTTTCTTGCATTTTACAATATGCCCCAACATTTCTAGATTTGGGGTTGTACAAACAAGGACATTTATTGTATTCTAGATCCATAGATGTGACCAGAGAGACTGTGGGGAACAAATGTAAAAGGTTTCAAACTGAATATTGAAAAACTACTATTGATTCATAACTGTTCTGAATATTGACTAGGACATGGTGCAATAGGGGAAAGGACACATTCATTTCATGATCGTCATCACCTCAAGAGTGAATAGGGCAACATACTCAATAGCCTACAGTCAGAAAACATGCGGGTTACAAAAGTCACAACACTTCAGAGAGTTAAATATCGCTGTTAAATGTACACTACACATTAAACATGTGTTGTCTAAACAGATAAACACTACCCAAACACGTTCCCATAGGACCTAAAACCACACCTGACCAAGCAGAGCCAAGATATCTGGTTACAACAGGCAAACTAAGCTTCCATTCAATGAGGGTTTAGCTGGCTGGTCAGTTAGTATTACTCGTACTCCTTTAAGGGACAATTCTGTTGTTGTTTTTAAGTGGATACACCTGATAGAAATTGTCCTTTGAGAGATAACTAATGTAGCCTACCCTCTGTTGAAAGCCGTTGATTGATTTATCAGAGTGAAGACCTCGCGGCTCGCGAGCAGGTCAAATAATACCAATACAAACAAACCTGATACAGCTTCTTGACACGCTCATCTAGTAGATCCAAAATCAAATATACATCTTTAACGGTGCAGGAAATATCAAAGCAGATCAGAATTGTTCAATGGAAACTTGTAACTTACTAACTTTACTTACTAGCTAATAGCGTCCCCTAACGGGTATTTGTCAATTTTACCGCTTTTTTTTTTAAAGAAAGTAGCCTATGGGTTAATTTAGGGGTTCATGGAAAAGTTCATGTAAAATATATATTTTTAAAAAACCTGTAAAAAAAAAAAAAAAAAAAACAGGTAAAAAGACAACAAATAGATGAGTAAATAAATTAAAATTACGTTAGGAGTAGAAAAGGAAACAGCTAAAAATGTCATTTAAAACAAACTAAATATTTTCCTAATAACATTTTATATATAAATATATATGTAATACCACAGTATAAATTGGGTCTTAATAGCTACAAGAAACTATAGATCGATGCCTTTTAAATTTAATTTTAGGGTGATGATCCTCACATGAGGATAAACAGTTAATATTCAATGCCAATATAGTTTACACTTTATTTTAAGGTGCCAGTATTACAGTGTAATAATACATATAAGTACTGAGTGATAAAAATTAAGTATATGTACTTAGGATTAGGGTTAATTGCATGTAATTATGCATAATTTATAGTTATTACTACAGTAACTAGGCTACATGTAAAATCTATAACTGACACTGTAAAATAAAGCGAATTGCCTCAATATAAAAGTCAATATAATATAATTGTATATAATATAATGATAGCACAAAGACATCCACAAAAAAAAATCATTTATTTTTTACACTTCCTCATTTCATCTTAAAATGCTCGAGTACATTCTTTAAAAGTTGGTTTACACACTTGATGTAGTCAATATCTATGTTTGAAGATAGCCAGTTAAGTGTTTGATAACAAAAAAGGATTTATAGCTAAATATCTAATAAACTGTGCTTGATAACAACAGATGTTAAAGATATCTAATTGTGTTTGATAAAAGAAGCAAACAATAGTTCATCAGTGTCTGTAATTCTTTAGAGTGCTGTTCTGGTGATGTAAAGATGAGGTATTATGTTGCAGTCACTCTGGGGTTGTCTGGGTCAAATGTCATGATCTCCATGTGGATAAGACCTGTGAGAAATAAAAAAGGCAGAGTAGCTTTAAATATAAATACCTCAAGACCAACATGAGAATTTCAAAAATGTATTTAAAGCAGGTTCAACAGAGTGCCAGAGTACAGAAGACATTTTAAATGTTAAATAAGACAAGAGCTTTATGTGTGTGTGTGTGTGTGTGTGTGTGTGTGTGTGTGTGTGTGTGTGTGTGTGTGTGTGTGTGTGTGTGTGTGTGTGTGTGTGTGTGTATCCTCTCACTCTTCCATTCGCTGACGGCCAGATCCAGACTCTCAAAAGAATCATCGTATGCAGGAGACACAGGCTCGTTTTCAGGGTCATGGAACTCAGACAGATATGGATGTGAAAGGCCGTTTTTTGCTGTAAGTCTGACCTCCGGGTCCAAAACCAGCATGCCTTCCAACAGATCGATGGCTGTAGATGGAACACGCATTAAATCAAAGCTGAATTACAGTTAAAGACGCAACAGATGGGACAAGCTTTTATACTGGCTTTACGAAGCCAAAATAATAACAGCTATCATAGCAATATAGTAGCTAATGTACTAGTATACCACTAGAGGGCGACTTTTACCCATTCAAAACAATGCAATATCACACACATAAAGCTGTTAGTTAATAATTACTGGGTGCTATTGGTTTTAGGTTTAAAATGTTTATAAAAGTGAAATCAATATGGGAGTTGTGAACATACCAGAAGGATCCATAACAGAAAAGACCTCTTTGAAAGGCTTTT